AGAGAGAGAGAGAGAGAGAGAGAGAGAGAGAGAGAGAGAGAGAGAGAGAGATTATCCAGTTCTGTTCTGGATTGCGTGATTCAATAACCTGGGTATTTTTTCTTTTCCATTTTGCCTTGTGCATTTGTTCAAGATGTCTTTGCAGTTGAAAGCTGGAGAAAGCTCTTTGCTAACTTTGGCAAATTTTTTCTTTGAACTCTTCACAAAAATAAAAATGTGTGATATCATCACCATCATCATCAATGCCTTTCACCCCTGGCTGGGTATAGGCCACATACAAGCTCCTTCCATTTATCTCTGTCCTGAGCCATCCTTCCAAGCTCGTTCCAAGTGAGCTTCATTTCTCTCATGTCCCTTTCCACGCATCTCCTCCATGTTTCCCGTGGCCTACCCCTGCCTCGTGTTCCCTGTGGGTTCCACTGCAGTGACTGTTTTGTGATGTTTCCGCTGGGCTTTCTTAAGGTGTGTCCCATCCATCACCACTTTCTTAGTCTTATTTCTACTTCTATATCTTTTTGTCCTGTCCTTTCACACAGTTCTTCATTTCTTATTCTATCCTGCCACTTAATTCTTAGAATACTCCTCATACATCTGTTGATGAAAGTCTGGACCTTATTCAGTGCTGTCTTCGTTGTCTTCCAAGTTTCGCAGCCGTAGAGGAGCACAGACTTGATGTTGGAGTTTTAAAAAAATGTGTGATAACTAAGAACAAAATAAAAGGCTGCCCAGTTAGCTCAGTTGGTGTCCTAGAAGGCTCTGATGTAGACGGCCTTGGTTCGATTCTCTGTCAGGGAGTTTTTGACCAGGGGTTGATTCTGTTTGTCTGTCTGTCTGTCTCGATGTTCCCCAGCAATAATTACTGTTCTTTTGTTGCTGCGTTTCTCTTTCACCCCAGTTCTTACTTAGAACTAAAGAGAAAATTAATTTTCTTATTTTTCGTTCTGAATTCTAGGTGTAAGAATGGCTACAACAAGCATATGGTTACCTTGAAAGAAACATGCACGTGTACAGAGGAAGACTATGAATGGTAAGTCGAGGGAAATTTGATAAAACATCTTGAGGTAAGGTCCAGTACAAAGAGTCTACATAACAAGAGGGGCCACTTCTCTCTTTGAGCCAATTAAAAAAGTGTCCTCAAAATTCGGTGGCGCCCTCTTCGCAAAAGCGCACCTTTAGC